TCTTGGACTACGGCGGGCGAGGGGGGCAAGTGAGAAGGCGAGCGGCGGGGCCTCGCAGGAGGCCCCTGGTCTGCTGAGAGGCCTTCAAGCGCCAGCAGGAGAAAGAAGACGTGACACGGCATGCTCCACCTCCACTGGCCATCGCTCGGACGTCCATTCCCTGTGCTTCTTTTGGTTTCGTGCGTGGCTTTTTCGCCAAATGATCAAGGATGCTCCTCGACGGTCCTCGCCGAAGGAAAAATGCACACGTCCAAGCGATGCCAAGTCCAAGCCGCCCACGTCCCTCGCCCAGCCCATCTCCGAGGAGGGGCAGCGCAGGGGCAGGAGGAGGAGCGGCGGACCGTGGGGCCGCGTGGTGCGGTGCCTGGACGGGCCGTGGCCTGGAGCCTCTGGGGCGCGTGCGGCCCGCGCGCACCCCCGGTGCGGCCCGCGCGCATCGGCGTGCGCGGGGGCGCGCGCCCCCCTTCAAGAAGCGCACGTGGCGACCTCTGTCGAGCACCGCCGGGAAGGCCGAGAACGAGGAGGGGGAGGAGGGGGAGGAGGAGGAGGGGGAGGGGGAGGAGGAGGAGGAGGAGGAGGAGGAGGAGGGGAGGAGGAGGAGAGGAGGAGGAGGAGAGGAGGAGGAGGAGGAGGAGGAGGAGGAGGAGGAGGAGGAGGAGGAGGAGGAGGAGGAGGAGCGCGACACGACACGAAAAACGAGACGACAGGGAGTGCAGCTTTCGTCGCCCCGAGCCTCGCGCGCCGGCAGCTTCTTCGCGGCCTCCCGGGCCATGCGCTCCGCCTCCAGCCGCGCCAGGCGCACCGCCTCCTCGCGGCAGCGGCGCTCCGCCGCCGCGCGGGCGCAGCGGGCGGCCTCCTCCAGGGCGGCGCGCCGGGCGCCCTCCTCGGCGCTCTCCAGCGCCGCCTGCTGCTCCTGCGCCTCCTCCGGTGCAGGGAGGGCGCTGCGCATGCACACTGAATCTTTCGGCGCCCCGCGCGGGCCTCTCGGATCGGCGCCACGGGCCGCCCCTGGCGCGCTCCGCGCGCCGGGGGCGGTCCGAGAAATCCGCGTGGAGCTCCGAAAGCTTCGGCTCGTGCAGTGCTTCTCTGGGGCCCTGAATGGGGTACTTTAGGGCCCCTGTTGGTCCCGTGCAAAGTGCCCCTTGTGGTCCCGTGCGAAGGGCCCCACGCGAAATGCCCCTTTAGACCTTTCGGTCCCGGGCAGCGCTTTCTGCTGCGATCCTTTAGGGCGGCCAGCGCGAAGGCCGTCTCCGTCCGCGTCCGCGTCCGTCTCCGCTTGGCGTCCGCGGCCGTCTCCGTCACGACCGCCTCCTGTCGGGGAGACGCAAGACGCGGGCTCGTGAGACTCGGCTCGGACTGGCGGGGCCGTCCAGAGAACGACGAGGCCCGACCCGAGACTTTGCCGCGAGCTGCCTCTCGCGACCACGGGGCCGTCAAAACCCCGGGCGGGCCCGTCCAATAAGGCGCTGCCAGACCCGAGCTCTGGCCAGCTCGAGTCTCATGCCTAGGGGAACGAGCAATGACATAAACATACAAATTCGGAGGTCCGCGCGGATTTCTCGGATCCGCGCTGGGGCCCCCTGGCGGCGCCGCCCCTGGCGCGCTCCGCGCGCCAGGGAGGTGGGTCCAGCGCCGATCGGAGAAATCCGTGCGGACCTCAGAGTTTTTATGTTTACAGTCGGGGCGTTGACCTAAGGAACCCTAAATAAGGAACGAGGCCTCCTTTTTCCAGAAGTTCAACTTCGATTTGCCATCGAAAACCTAAGGAAAGCCTGAGGCAAGCTGTGAAACACTTAAGGAACGCGGAGCCCCTCTTCAGGGCCCCGACTGTATGTCATTCTTCGTTCGCCTCACGCTTCCCCGATCCTGGCTGCACAGGCTGCTGGAGATGACGGGCCACAGGATGAACAGCGCCAGCACCAGCGCCAGGGCGGCGCACGAGGCCTGGAGCCGGATCGGCAGGCCTCAGAGCGTGAATTACCTCCCCCGCTTTCGCTTCCAGGCAAAACCAAGCCATACCACGCGCCTCCTCGTCAAGCGTCCTGACCAGTACAGGCCGCAATTTGGCATTGTTTGGTATCTCTTGGAAGCGAGGGTGGTCAAAAGCGAGGTAGGTTTGTTTTCCCCCGAAGGCCGCCCCGCGTCTTGCTGCGCCTGGGGCCCCGCGCGGCGCGCGCGCCCGCCCTGCCGGCGACCACGGCCACGGGCTCCTCGGCGCCGCCCGACGCCATCGGCCTGGCCGCCGGCGGCACCTCTGAAAGGGGCCCCAGGACACACAAATAAATACACACACACACATAAACGGATTCCCCGTATTTTCCGATCTTTTCTGGGGTTTCGTCTTCCCCCCACTTCCCATAGTTTCCCATATTTTCTTGGGAATCGAAGATGGATTGTGTCTGTGTGTTTCTGTTCCTCCTGAACCTCGTGCAGTCCACTGGCGACGATGGCCACGGACTCCTCGGCGTCGCCCGAGGCCGCCGGCACGGCAGCCGGCTGCTCCCGGTGCGCCGCCTCCTCAGCGCCGGCGGCCTCCTCTGGGGCGCCGGTGCTGGTGTCCTCCACGCCGCCGACGGTGGTGCCCTCCCCGCTGCCAGTGGTGGTGTCATCTCCGTCGCCAGCGCCCCACGAGCCGCCGGTGGTGTCTCCCTCGTGGCTGACGGCGACGACCTCGTCTGTGCTGGTGTCGTATCTCTCGGGCGCCGCGGTGGTGGCTGGCACCGTCGTCTCCTGCGCCACGGCACGAGCGGTCGCCGGGAACTCGGGCTCCACGCCAGGGCAGCCAGGGCCCCTTCTGAGGAAGACCACCTCCTCACCGTCGATCTGCACGGTTTCGAAGTCGACGTCCCCGGGCTCGCAGTCAAGGCCAGCGGTCGGAGGCTGCTCCGCCATGGCCCACGGCGTGAGCGCTGATAGCACAATCGAGAAGAGGGATGCATGCGCGCACCTCATCTGCGCTGGTCAATGCACCGCCTGCGCGTTGGCAGACCAAATTCGGGCAGCACGCAAGACACCGTCAGCCCAAATGGCTACGCATGAAAAGAAGGGACGACGAACTGCATCGACAGGCCCGGAATGGGATAGCATCAATGACGGGTACGCCCAGAAACATATGCTGCACGATATGTATCAGAGTGACGGGGGCCGAACGCTCATTCGCTGTCCCTGGGTGCGCGGCTGAAATGGAGTTCCGCGGCGCGGATTCTGCTTGATTGCTGTCGTCGTCCCACCCGCGACCCGCCCTGCAACCCACCCAAGACCCGCCCTGCGATCCACCCGCGACCCACCCGGCGACCCTTTCGCGACCCACCCACACTGCTTTGAAAAAAGTCTGGCGCCTACGGCGGGCTCGTTGCGCCATGTGTTGCAACAAAATCGCCTGCGGGCAGGGTTCTCCAGAGCCTCGCAGACTGCCGACGACCCCGCCGCCCCCTCACTCTTATTCTCAACACGTCGAGGTGCTGCGCAACTGCCGCTGTCGTGCAGGTAGTCACACTCGCAAACGAACGGATAAAACTCGATGTGGAACCGACCAGACTAGGATCAAGCTGAACAAGAACTGCTACAGTGAGGGCCCGACCACAAGAAACCTCCCACAAGAAACCCAAACCTAAGACCCCGGGGCGTCCATGGATTTTTGGCGTGGGAGCGTCACGCCCTCCATCGCAAAACCATCGACCCAAGAAACCCAGGGCACCCTGGAGGCGATCAGGGTGTTCCTTGACATAACCAATGTACCATTCATCATCTCCTGTCCTTCTTCGCGATTCAGGCGAACCCCACCGGGCCTTGCTATGTCATCCCTCTTCCAAGAACCCTCTCCCCTTCGCGGAGGGGGACCCTCCCCTCCCCTCCCTTAGGTTTTGAGTGGGGGTTCGCGATCGGTCAGGGCGCCCAAGATGGCTCCAAGAGGACCTCCGATGCTCCAAGATGGCCTCCAAGGTTGCTCAAGATAGCCGAAGAGATGGTCAAAGATAGCTTCCGACATGCCTCCAAGAGGCCCGACGAGGGCCGCAGGACGGATCCAAGTGCTCTCGGAGACCCCCCAGAACCCCTCAAACAAGCCCAAATCCTTCAAACACCTTACGAAAACAGTTCAATTTGCCTTCTCGCTGGTTCGCTACCAATGAGGTTTTGAGGCCTCAAGATTGCCCCAAGGTAGGTCCTCAAAACGGCCCCAAGCGCGCCCACCATCGCCCCAAGAGCGCCTCAAGGGGCGATTTTCAGGGGGCCCAGATGGGGGACCGAACGTCAGGACCCATCTCTTTTCACCTACGCCTTCCACGATACTGTCAATACTCATAGTAAGGACGCACGGATGTCCTTAGGGTGCCCCTGCGTCCTTGCCTCTGCGGCCCGTCATTCGCGGTTTTCACGGGCCAGCCCTTCAGAGTGTTGGCAGCCCGCCGCCCAAAAAGAGCCAAATTCGGCGTCTAAGGTCCTTGCGTTCTTACCGTCCGTGCTTACTATAGATTTCGACTGTAGCCCCAAGAGGCCCTCCAGGGCTCCCAGAGGGCCCCCAAGAGAGCCCCAAGAGGGCCCGAAGAGGGCCGCAAGACCTCCCGAAAGAGCCCCAAGAGGACCCCAAGTTCCCCCTCAAAAGCTCCAGGAGGTGATTTTGAGGGCTCTGTCCTCGTCCTCGTTGTCCTCCTCCTTGTTCTCCTCCTCCTCGTCCTTGCCCTCATCGTCTTTCTCTTCCTTTTTTTCCTCTTGCTCGTCGTCGTCGTCGTGGTCGTCGTCGTCTTCCTTCTCCTCCTCCTCCTCCTCCTCCTCCTCCCGGGCCCCAGGGATGACCCGAAGAGGCCCTGTTCAGCTTGGCTGCCCTTTCCCGCAAGCTCTCATGGGCAAGGCTTCTGAATGGGCCGGGGCTGGTGGGGATACGTTTTTGGTTCGCGGCTCCAAGGCGATTGACAGGGAGCGGGCACAACGTCCGGGGCGCATGACGATGTAAATTGGCCACAAAGGCGAGTGCACGTGCCAGGGACAAAATGACCCACATCAAGACGCATACTGCGTCGGCAGGAAACCGGCCCAGACATCCCGGCAGGTGGGGACGCAGGCGCGGCGACCGGCGGCGGAACGGGAGGGAGAAGTCGCCCTTCGGCGCCAAACTCCAGCCGAACCACATTCGGTGGGGCCAGGAACGGAGGGGGGAGGGGGAGAGAGCGAAGGCAGGGGGAGAGAGCGGAAGTGAGCGACTACCACAGGCTCACTGCAGCACCACGAGTAACAGATGGTGCGGCGCAAGGGCCTGACTCGTCAAGGCTCACCGAATCTGAGGTGAAGCTGATCCGCGTCGAAGCGCCATGCTGGTGGGGATACGCGAAGCGTGAGAACATAACTCCTGTCCGGTGCAATCCAACGGCGGGCACCGTCTGGACCACCATTCCTATCGCGACGAGTCTGCCTGCGGCGACGACGCGCCCAGAGGACCAAACGCAAACAAATCGCAATGACACCGGAGAAAAAACCCAATCAGATGTTGGGGCTATGGGGCTGTAGGGCTATAAAGCTATAAGGTTATGAGGCTATAGGGCTGTAGGGCTATAGGGCTATTGGGCTATATGGCTATAGGGCTATAAGGCTGCAGAGCTATAGGGCTATAGGGCTATAAGGCTATGGGGCTATAGGGCTATAGGGCTATAGGGCTATTGGGCTATAGGGCTATATGGCTAGATGGCTATAGGGCTATGGGGCTATAAAACTATAGGGCTATAGGGCTATAAGGCTATTGGGCTATTGGGCACCCGGGCCCGGCCACCGAAATCGGCGACCAACCTCACCGGCCACCCGGGCACCGCCGGGCACCCGGGCACCCCCGGGCACCCGGGCCCGGCCACCGAAATCGGCCGCACCGCTCACCTAAACCTTTAATCCGCTAGGACCCCTACAGAGGCAAGCTCTGATTGGGGAACGACTAACACAAGCTGGGATTTCAACGCGTTGCACCGTGTGCGCAAACATTGCCAGGCTGGGCGTGCCCGGTCTCACCTTCTAAGTGCAATGGCAGATTGTAAAGGGCATGCAGGGGCTGCTTCCAGCCCCGGCTCTCGTCCTGACCCCACACCTCCGTCCAACCCAAACCGAGATGCCGAACTCGATCAGACAGGAACTGCAGTACACATCACACTGAACACAGTGATTCAGCAGACAGCGGCAAGCAGCGCCCGCCCCACCATCCTTGTACGCGCCCTCTCCAGTGCAGCATCGAATTTGCGCGGCTACGCCCCCCAAACAGTGCTGGCCGGCGTGGACCGCCAACAGTGAGTTATTGCACTGTGGAAGTGGCATTTGTACATGCATGTATACACATGCTGTGTCAGCTATGTGGTGTGAGCTATGTTGTGTAGAGTATTTTTTTTCCTGCGAAGCTCTGCAACACTTCTTGTGACAACTTAAACTCTCGCTGATCGAACTCACAGCGCTGCCTGGAAAAGAGCACGCCTGCTATGTTGTGTAGAGTCTGTTTAAGCTATGTGGTGTAATCCAACCAGCCCATTGGGGCGTGGGTGGTTTAGCGTGTTTGCCCCTTCATCTTCCCTCCTCCCCTTCGGGGAGCAGTTTACATCTCCCCCTTACCCCTCCCCCCCTGGGTCTGGACGGGGACTTGCACGAGAGGTTGGAACGTCCAAGATGACCTCGGCGAGGAAGCTACCATCATTGATTGAATAAGATGTTGACCACATTTTGGCCTTCTGGGGGGGAACCCTGATGTACTGCGGCCCCTCCTTGGTCGATCTCCTCCAGGAGTGCCAAAATGGCACCCGAGGCTCCCAAGGGTGTTCCAAAACGGCCCCACGAGGTGCCTAGGAGACCCCAGGAAGCCTCCAAGAGGCCCCCGAGATGCCCCCAAGAGGCTCCCAAGCGATCCCCCTAGAGGCCCCTGGAGCCCCCCCCCCTCCCCCAGAGGCTCCCAAGACGCCCCAAGAGGCTTCGGCGAGAAGGCTAAACTCAGTGATCTCACTAAGGTTTTGACCAAATGTCGGCCTCCTGGGGGGGGTCATCATTAAGGAGCCTCCCTCCTTCGACCGATCTTCTCCAACATGGACCCAAGATGGTACCCGAGGCTTCCAAGGGTGCCCCGCGAGGACCCAAAGAGGTACCTGGGAGTGCCCAAGGGGCCTCCAGGAGGCACCCGAACACATATCCCAATACAGAACAATGCCTCCTGATGCCTCCTGGAACCTCCTGGGGCCTCCTGGGGCTCCCTGGGGCGCTAGGAACCATGAGTTTTGTTAGCTTCTCCCGCCCTGGGACGTTGTAAGTTTCTCCCGCACTGGGGCGTCAGGAACCCATATGTTTTCACGCTTCTCCCGCCCTGGGGCGTTAGGAACCCAGGTGTTTCACGTCTGTCCCGCCGTGGGGCGTTCAGAACCCATGTATTTTCACTCTTCTCCCGCCCTGGGGCGTTAGAAACCCATGTGTTTTCACGCTTCTCGAGCCACCCGGGGCCTCCTGGGGGCGGGGGGGGGGGACGAAAAACGCTCCCCGAACACATACCCCAAAACATGAATATGCATCCTGGGGCCTCCTGGGGCCTCCTGGGGTCTCCTGGGGGCGAAAAACGCTCCCCGAGCATAAATCCCAGTACAAAACAATGCGTCCTAGAGCCTCGTGGAACATCCTGGAGCCTCCTGGGGCGCTGGGAACCCACGTGTCTTCGTGTCTCTCCCGCCCTGGGGCGTCAGGAGCCCCGTTGTTTTCACTCTTCTCCCGCCCTGGGACGTTAGGAACCCACGTGTTTTCACGTTTCTCCCGCCCTCGGGCATTACGGGCATTAAGAAACAATGTGCGTTCGCGCTTCTCCCGCTCTGGGGCGCTAGGAACCCATGTGTTTTCACGCTTGTCCCGCCCTGGGGCGTTGGAAACCCAATGTGTCTTCACGCTTCTCGAGCCTCTTGGGGCCTCCTGCGGGGCGGGGGGGGAAGCGAACAGCGCATCTCGAACACATATCCGAATGCAGAACGTACGTAAAACAAGTATTCCACCTGAGGCATCCTCTGAGTTCTGGTCCCCAGGAGAGAAACAATGTGTAACGCAAAACGTTTCGCTCGAGACATCCCAAACAAATTCTGGAAACAATTAGCGTTTCGTTCTGGACATCCTCAAATGCAAAACAAGATATAATACAAAACAAGCGTTTCGCTCGAGACATCCTCAACACATTCTGAACAATCAAGCGTCTCGCTCAGGACATCGTCAAACATAAATCAGCTGGCCCTCTCCCCGCCTCGCTATTTACTGCAGATCCGCCGATTCGGCGTGTGAGCTACAAGGAGCCCCCGCAAGAGCTTCAGCTCTTAGCCTAAGCAAGAGCTTCAGCTCTGCTTGGGCGGGGCCCCCTTGGTAGCTCTGCCAGGGAAGGGGGGGAGGGGGAGGGGGCGGTCCCCCATCTGGCGTTTTCTTGATGATTTGCGCATCCGGACCCCCCCGGGGAAGGGGGGATGGGGAGGGGGGGTCCCCCATCTGGCGTTTTGTTAATGCGATTTGCGCATCCCCAAAATGTTTCGGGGGGTCCCAGGGACCCCCCTCAGATCTAGCCGCTATCGCCCCCAGGACCCTCCCCTCGGAACCCTTCCTGGACCCCCCCTGGGACCGCTCCAGGCCCCCCCCCCCCGAGGAGAACAACGAGGACCTGAAGAATCCAGGGGGGGAAGCCACAGAGCCGCGAAGATCACCGAATCCGGAGCTCCCCGGATCGGCGGCACTGGCCGGAGGCCGTTGCAATACTTCCGCTGGCCCTCTTCCCGTCGGGTACGGGGGGGAACCTCTATACAAGAGAACCCTGGGCCCACGCCCTCTGGAAAAAACAAACATTTCGCTCGGGACATCCTCAAACATATTTCCGCAGGCCCTCTTCCGACTTCGTTGTTTACCACAGATAATTCCGCGGGCTCTCTTCCCGTCGATTCCGAGGGTAAACAACTAATGGAGAACCCTGGGCCAAAGCCCTTTCCGGGAACATAATCGACCCACGAATCCGGAAAGGAATATAGACATGTAAGGCATGGCAGCGTTTCAAAGATACCTGATTGGGCGACGGGCAAACGCAATGCTGAGTGTATCGATCTCGATGTTCCATGCCGAGGTCTGTGCTGTGCAGCGCCGTGCTGAATTGCGATGTGCCATGCCGCGATTGTGCTCTATAGCGTTGTGGATCGAGTCCTCCTTTGCATCCGAATCCTGACCGAACTGATCTGGATCTTTAGCTCGAGCTGCCTCAGCACGTAGTAGCTGCCCCAGAGCTAATTGCTAATTGACAGGTGAACATGTCAGGAGGACGCGCCGCGGAACGTCCCAAGGGACGCGCCAGGCGACGTGCCAAGGGACGTGCCACGGGGACGCACCGCGGGACGTGCCGAGGGGACCCGCTACGGAACGTGCCCATGGACGTGCCACGGGACGTGCCAGGGAACGCGCCGCGCGACGTGCCAGGGGGACTCGCCACGGGACGCGCCACGGAACGTGCCAGGCTGCAATGCTGAGTGTATCGATCTTGATGTACCGTGCCGAGGGCTGTGCTGTGCTGCGCTGTGCTGAACTGCGATGTGCCATGCCGCGATTGTGCTCTATAGCGTTGTGGATCGAGTCCTCCTTTGCATCCTGACCGAACTGATCTGGATCTTAAGCTCGAGCTGCCTCAGCGCATAGTAGCTGCCCCAGAGCTAATTGACAGGTGAACATGCCAGGAGGACGCGCCGCGGAACGTCCCAAGGGACGCGCCAGGCGACGTGCCAAGGGACGTGCCACGGGGACGCACCGCGGGACGTGCCGAGGGGACGCGCTACGGAACGTTAAACTGCGTGGTCCTTGCTCGGGGCAACCATGTTAGATACCCCCCTGGATGGCCTGGACACCTAAAAACACATGGTGCCAACTCGGGAAACCATGCTATATACACCCCTGAATAGCCGGGACTCGTTACAACACGTGGTCCTGGCTCAGAGCAATCATGTTAGATACCACCCTGGGTGGCCTGGGTACGTAAAAACACCAGGTTCAAGCTCGGGACAACCATGTTGGATATCCCCCTGGGTGGCCCAGACACGTAAAAACATATGGTTCCAGCTCGGGACCATCATGTTAGATACCCCCCTGGGTGGCCTGCACACGTAAAAACACGTGGTCCAGCCCACCCAGGGTGGGATATCTAACATGCGGCCGTCTGGAGCGCAGGAGGGCCCAGGAACGCCCAGAGGCGCCTGGAGGCCAAAAAATAAACGAATCGATGCCACATATAAATGAACTCTCGACGCTCCGTTCCGAGTCCCAGGAAGGATCCAGGAGGCCCATGTTGGATACCCCCTGAACGGCCTGGACACGTGAAAACACATGGTTCCAGCGCGGGACCACCATGTTAGATACTCGCCTGGGTGGCCTGCACACGTGAGAACACGTGGTTCCAGCGCGGGGCCACCATGTTAGATACCCCCCTGGGTGGCGTGGACACGTGAAAACACATGGTTCCTGCTCGGGACCACCATGTTAGATACCTCATGGGTGGCTTGGACACGTAAAAGCACGCGGTTCCAGCTCAGGACCACCATGTTAGATACCCCCCTGGGTGGCGTGGACACGTGAAAACACACGGTTCTAGCGCGGGGTCACCATGTTAGATACACCCTCTGGGCGACCTGGGCACGTGAAAACACTTGGTTCCAGCGCGGGACCACCATCTTAGACACCCTCTGGGTGGCCTCGACAGGTGAAACACGTGGTTCTAGCTCGGGACCAACATGTTAGATTGCCACCTGTGGCCAGGACACGGAAAAGCGTGGTACCAGCTCGGGACCACCATGTAAGATACCCACCTGGGTGCCCTGGACACGTGAAGCGACGTGGTTCCAGCTCGGGCAGAAAATATTAGATACCCCCCTGTGTGGCCAAAGAAATTCGGGAAAAACAAACGAATTAGTCGAGACATCCTCTACATTCCTGCGCGCGGGACGCGGCACGCGCGAGACATCCTCGGAATTCCTGCGAGCGGGACGTGAAAACAAGCATTTCGCCTGAGACATCCTCTGAATTCTGGCTTCCCACGGGGCCCCCCACTCGAGACATCCCCCAACTCTGCAAAACCAGCGTTTCGCTCGAGACGTCCTCAACAAATTCTGAAAAACAAGCGTTGCGCCGGAGACGTCCTCAAAAATAATTCCGCCGGCCTCCTTCAAACTCGTCCTTCATCGCAAAATAATTCCGCCGGCCTCCTTCAAGTTGAAACCGGGGGTGACAATACTAAAAGAGAACCCTGGGCCTATGCCCTTTCCGGGGAAAATGCTGCGGGATTGTAGCTCCGAGCTGGCATCGAAACAAAACAACGGCGGCGGAACCGGCAACCACAACGGCGTCGGAACCGGCAAGACCACGGCAACAGGGCACAGGTATAGAAACAGCCATGTCGTTTCCAGGGCCCACTAGCCCAGACCCCCGACGTCGCGACTTTTTCACAACGTCGACACCTACAGAGGTCTGGACCTCTTCCCGGGGACCGGTTTCTCCCCCAGAGTCGTTTTCTGACGGCCCCGAGGCCCGGGCCTCCAGCAGCCGAACATGGAGAAAGGCCTGCCGCCATGCTTTTTGTTTCACGCCGCGAGGGGGTCTTGGCCTGTCATTCCCAGTGCGGGCAGTACTTATATCCATATCCAGAGCGTCGTGGACTTTTCGGGAAGAGGTGCCGCAACGCCGAGGCGCACTGGATATGGATAAAGTCAAGCCTCTTGGGGCCATACTTTTATCCATATCCAGTGCGTCTACGTGTTCTGGGGAAGAGCGCCCAGGAATCCAAGACGCACTGGATGTGGATATAACTATTGCCCGCACACAGGGCCCCCGGCGCGCGAGACCCATCTTCTCCGAAGGGAGCGCTCCCAAACCTCAGCGCTCGGCGCGCCGCCCGGCTCTCTCTAACGTCACGCTGGGCATGTCCCTCCACAGGAGGCATCTGCCCAAATAGTTTAAACTGCGGGCAATATTTATACCCATATCCAGTGCGTCTTGGACTTTCTTGGAAGGGGCTCCGCAAGGCCGAGGCGCACTGGATATAGATAAACATTGAGCCTTTTGGAGGCAGATTATAATCCATATCCAGTGCGCCTCATGTTTCGTGGGAAGAGTGTCCGAAACTCCAAGACGCACTGGATGTGGATAAAGACATTGCCCGCATAAACAGAATCTTGAGACGAGCTGTCGACCACTTCTGACCACTGTTGAACCTGTTTTCTAGTCTTCATTTTTCTTCAGAAATCCGCCTCTGGGAGGACATGCCCGACCTAACTTCGGGTCGGGCGAAAGGGGGGGATAGCAAAGGGGGGGTTTGAGAATCAGCTCACGTAGCTGATTTTCCCGACGCCTCCCAGCGCCGGAGGCGCCCATGTATCGAGGAATGGGCCCCTCGGTGGGGCCGAAACCAGCTGCATGCAGCAAATTTCGTAACCCCCCCTTTCCCAATCCCCCCCTTTCGTCCGGCCCGACCTGACTCTACCGCCCGCCGCCGAAGAGCGACTGCAGGAAGCCCCGGACGGCCCCCGGGCGCCCCTGCTGCGGCGCGGCCGCCGCAGCTCCTCCGGCGCCTCGGTGGCGGGGCCCCTCTCGGGCAGGAGGGCCCGGCAGGGAAACGATAGGTCGGATCGGCAATTTCTTAAGTTTTTTTCAATTATTTGCGATTCTGTCTCATCGGATGTTCGATTAAATTTGGATCAACATGATCTATTGGAAGGAGATCGAATCCAAGTCGATGAATCGAAGCTGTAGGAAAATTCGGCAATGGAGATGAATCGGGTCGGAGGAACTCGGCAGCTGAGTCGGGAGAAGTCGAATCGGCGAACATCTGACGGCCAGCACGCCTCCCGCGAAGAGTCGGAACAGAGATCGGAATCCCAAGTCGGTCATCGGAATAAACCATCGACGTCGAATCGAATCGAATCGGAGGAATCGAAATGGGCCCTCTTCTCGGGGGTTCTAGAAAAACCGTGTGGTGACAGGCCACGCCGTGACCTCGAAATCCCCAGACCCCCGACGCCCCCTGAGATGCTGGCGTCTCAATTTCTTCGAGCCGGGCGCGCTGTCGTTTCTTCTCGGGCACCGGGGCCCTCACAGATCGATCCGCCTCGAGAATTGACGCAGAAAGGTTGGGTCTAGGGTTCCGGGCGCGATTTTTCACGGCGTCTCACTTCTGGGGGAGACGTCGGATCTCAGGGTCATGATTTTTCATGGCGTCGACCCTTGGAGGCCTCGACTCCTTCCCCGGTACCGGTTCTAGTTCCGAATCGGATGCACGTGCTCCGCGGTGCTGCGTGATCGATGTCGGGTTCTTAGACCCCCCTGGTGCATGGGGGTGTACAGGCTGCTGATCGGCGAGCTGTGAATTTTTCTTTTGGTGTAATGCGGCGCCTGGGGGAAAAAGGCTAAGATTGGTCAGAGTGAGGGGGCCCAACGGTCATTCACTGTCCCTGGGTGCGTGGCTGAAGTGGAATTCCGCGGTGCGGATTCTCGTTGTTGTTGTTGTTGTTGTTCTTGTTGTTGTTGTTGTTGTTTGTTGTTGTTGTTTGTTTGTTGTTGTTGTTGTTTGTTTGTTTGTTTGTTTGTTTGTTTATTTGTTTGTTTGTTTGTTTGTTGGTTGTTGTTGTTGTTGTTGTTGTTGTTTGTTGTTGTTTGTTGTCGACGTCCCACCCGCAACCCGCCCCGCGACCCACCCGCGACCCACCCCGCGACCCACCACGCGACCCACCCGCGACCCACCCGCGACCCACCCGCGACCCCACCTGCGACCCACCCCGCGACCCACCCCGCGACCCACCCCGCGACCCACCCCGCGACCCACCCCGCGACCCACCCCGCGACCCGCCCGCGGCCCACCCCGCGACCCACCCGCGACCCACCCGCGACCTACCCCGCGACCCACCCGCGACCCACCCCGACCCAAACCACGTTCAAGGTACAAACCACAATTTTCGGCGCCTGCGGCGGGCTTTTTTTGCATTCCTTCCAGGTGGAGAGCCCGCGACCCACCCCGTGACCAACTCGCGACCAACCCGCGACCCAAACCACGTTCAGGGTACAAACCACATTTTTCGGCGCCTGCGGCGGGCATCTTTTGCATTCGTTTCAAGTGGAGAGCCCGCGGCCCACCCGCGACCACGTTCAGGGTACAAACCGCATTTTTCGGCGCCTGCGGCGGGCATCTTTTGCATTCGTTCCCGGTGGAGAACCCGCGGCCCACCCGCGACCCAAACCACGTTCAGTGGACAAACCACATTTTTTTGGCGCCTGCGGCGGGCTGCTTTTGCATTCCTTCCAGGTGGAGGTGAAGAGCCCGCGACCCACCCGCGACCTAAACCACGTTCACTGAACAAACCAATGCTGGGAGGGAGGACGATGATGGAGGCCGATGAGGGGAGGACGACAATGGGAGGACGATGATGAAAGGACGAGGGGGGGAGAGGGAGGACGAGGAAGAAGAGGAGGAGGAGGACGAGGTGGAGGAGGAGGACGTGACGATGACGATGAGGACGATGGACGAGGAGAGGAGGAGGAGGAGGAGGAGGAGGAGGAGGAGGAGGAGGAGGAGGAGGAGGAGGAAAGCGCCATCGACAGGGAAGGTGGGGGCCACGAGGTCCGCCGGCTCGACGACGCCCGCCTCGCCGGCGCCCGCCCCCTCACTCTTATCCGCAATTGCGGGGTGCTACGTATGCATAATTCGGTACATTTCGCCCAGGCTGCTCTCAATCTTGTTGCTCTGGGTTGCGAGTAGATCACGGTATGGTTGCACCCCCGATCGATTTCCCTATGCTTCGTCGTATGCACGACATCGAACAGTCGTCCAGTTTGCAGTGCTCCTTGGAAATCGTTCATGGCATACCGCACTGCCGATCGCTGCATGGGATCCTCAACACGGTCCAGGAGCGCGGTATCTTCTCTCACGATGCTTGGCTTCGGATGGATAAACTCCGTATGCGAGGTAACAGTGCACGTCATCGGCGATGGAGGGTTTCCCCTAGCACTGCTGTTGTGATTCGGCTTTGTGACCACCTTAATCTCGGCGATCATCGTAATGGGAAACTGAATCTTTCGGGGTTGTTGCCAGGCTCTCCATCAGTGCCGGGAGATGCGGATAAACTCTGTGCTCGTCAGCCTTCTCTAGACGAGAAGTCTACGGCGTTCACGTTCGATCGCGACGCCAAGGTTTTCTGCTCTGCGCAGCATGCTCTTCGACATGATGGGAGTGAGCAGGATACCCGAGTGGAACAGCTTCATGATCTAAAAATTGAGCCTGTCCTTCGAATGGAGCCTGATTTGTCCAAGAGTGCAATACGGAGGGCGCGCAGAAGAGCACGGGCTGCTGACTTTGCAGAAGACCTGCAAGGTGATGCTCTTCGTGACGTGCCTGTTCTTCCTCCTGGTGGGCTTGCCTCCGCTATTGTTGAATAACCTGAACCTGATGATGGTCTTTGTCCTCTCGTTCGCGCTGGTCGACGCGATGAAGATAGCCCTGGCCGATGCGTCGCAGATCCCGTTCGCGTTTCTTATGCCGGACCTGCTGATCGTGATGCACGCCCCGAAGACCATGAGGCTGCAGATCACCCTGTGTCTCTTCCCTCGGGCGCTGCTATTCTGGGTGCCGACCGCGCTTGTGGCCTTCCTCTCAGAGGCGTGGATCGTGCCCCGCCGTCGAGGTGGTGTGCACGCCACGCGGTGGCCTCCTCCTCCTCCTCCTCCTCCTCCTCCTCCTCCTCCTCCTCCTCCTCCTCCTCCTCCTCCTCCTCCTCCCCCTCCCCCTCCCCCTCCCCCTCCTCCACTCCTCCTCCACCTCCTCCTCCTCCTCCTCCTCCGTGGCTCGCGCTCAACACCTCCCCGTTCAAGTTCGCGCCGAACTCGTTCTCTATACCCTCATGAGCCGCGCGCTCGCTCCGATCGCCGTCGCGCTGTCCGAGCGCCAGCTTTGCTGCTTTCGGGCCCTCGTTGCTTCGAAGCCCCTCTTCTTCGGTCGTGCCCCTCCGCTCGCTTGTCTGTGGTTCCTGGGCCCCTCCCTCGTTCTCTTTCGGCCCCTTCGGGCCCTTCCGTCGCGCATCGGCTACGTGCAGGAGTTCTTGTTCTGACGATAGCCCGAGGATAAATCAAGACAGTTTTTTGTTGACGGCCCCGGGGGCATGTTGGGGCTCCCAGGAGCCGAGAATAGCGAACCCCTCTCGTCGTGTTATTCGCGACGCGAGAGGGCCTGGGCCCTCGGGGATCCCCAGAAGCCGTGTGGTGACAGGCCATGCGGGGACCTCGAAGGCCCAAGAGACCTCGCCTCGCGCTCCGTCCCCGCACGGTCTTGGGATCCCCTGGGAGGCCCCCGGACGCCCGAGACGTCCTCGGAGGACGACCTCACCCCGCCCCCAGCGACTCACCACGCGGTGTGGCCCCCACACCTCCTGCTCCTGCTGGCGGCGCGCACGAGGGGACCGGGGGGACCGGGGGGGTGCTAGAAGTGCGCCTCGCCCAAGGTGCCTTCAGGGCTTTCAGCGAGGCCCCCACGGCCTCCAGAGCACCCCTCACGAGGCCCGGGGGGCCCAGGAGCTCCAGAGTTCGGCGAAGAGCTGGGGGCACCTCGGTCCACAGGGCACTTCTCTAGCAACACCCGAGGGGAGGGGGGGAAGGCTGCTCAGATGGAGGCTGCTTCTCAGAAGGCGCTGGCCCTGCATCTACAGGTAAGGCCCGCGCCTTCTAAGAAGTAGGGGTGCTTCTAAGACACCACCCAGATCCCCCGACGCCATGATGTTTTCACAACGTCGACCCCTGGAGGTCTCGAGCCATTCCTCGGGACCGGTTTGTCGCCCTGAGAAATGTTTTGACGGCCCTGGGGCCCGGTGAGGGTTCGGCGGTGGACAAACCTCCCTTTAGTAAACCTCCCCTTAGTGAAAACAGCCTGGGACCGAAACCGACGGACCTGGACCCGCAAAAGTGACGGCCGCGACGCCCTCTCGCGAAACGGAAACGGCCAATTCCTTAATCGACATGTCACGGCAGGAGGTCTGTCCACCCCCGGAGGGTCCCCAGAGGTCGAAAATAGCGAAAAACATGCGTCGTGATCTTCTCAGGGCCCGAATTGTTTCATGACCCGAGGGGGCAGCAGAGCCCCATCGCATCGACAAGTCGGATCGGCGATCGAGGTGCATCGGCTCGGGGGAGATCGGCAGGCTGGCGTGCCTCCAATGAGAAATCGGAGCCCAAATCGGAACCCCAAGTTGAATCGAACTGGAATCGGAAGCCATCGACGCCGAATCGAATCGAATCGGAGACATCGAAACGAGCCCAGGGTGTCTGGATCTGCGCGCAGCGGATCGCCACGCGGTGCCCGTCGCCGCACCGCCCGCCCCCCCCCCCCCCGCGCTCTTCGGCCCCCCCGAAACGCGCCGCCCCGAGAACGGCTGGGATCCCGAGCGGCCGAATCGGAGACATCGAAACGAGCCCAGGGTGTCTGGATCTGCGCGCAGCGGATCGCCACGCGGTGCCCGTCGCCGCACCGCCCGCCCCCCCCCCCCCCGCGCTCTTCGGCCCCCCCGAAACGCGCCGCCCCGAGAACGGCTGG